CCAATGTCATAAAACAACGTGTACTTCTGTTTCATGAGAAACTATTTGTTCTGTAAGCCTTCACCTGAAGTACAATAAAAAAAACAAAACAAAAAACAAAAACAAAATATTAATAGAAAGAACACAGAATTCAACTACTGAAATTTGAGAGCAAATCTCTAGTGTAATTAATTAGAAACTTCTTTATTCATTAAATTGGAAAATAATTTGCTTATTTTCCAACTAAGATAATTTGCTCTAATTCTGTGCATTTGTTATCTAAACACTCTAGTATCCCAGGTCCTCACACCACTGAGTCTCCTTCTCCTCCGGGTAGCTCGATGCAGAGACAGTTCCTTCTCAGAGAGGATGGCAGGACTGCCTTAACCATATTACACTATGCCTGTCTCCTGCACTTAGCTTCTCCGAGTATCTTCCTACCCATATCTCGTTTTATTCTCACAACAGCTCAGGGAGAGAAGTGGAAGAAGGTGACATTAATATCAATACATGCTGCCTGCAAAATTAAGGGAGTGTTGTTCTGAATTTTGCAAGGTGACCTGTCTGCTTCAGCCACAAAGCAATAAATAAGGCTAAACATAAATGATACGTGTGTACCTCACTTTACAGAACAGACGTGTGCCGGGGGAAAAGAAAAAAAAAAGCACTGAATTTTTGTAAATATAATGCTGCTCTTCCACTGACGATTTCAGAGAGGTTTTATCTGTACTTAGGATTTATTTTCAATGGTTAGAAGATTCTGACACTTCAGTTTTACTTTGCTCTAGATGCAGATAACAATATTCATCGCTACCATTTAAAAGGGAGTCACATCTTCCTTGAATGTGAGTTTCTGAAGTCATCAGGCAAGAGAAAATCAGAGTCAAAATTACCCTGGAAAAGGAGCCTTAAACCACTTGTGAAGTATAGTCTACAGGACACAGGTTTTACATCCACTGCTGTAGAATAACATACATGTATAATATCGGGTGTATGCGTATGAACCCGTTGCTGTTGAGCTGATTCCGACTCATAGCGACCCTATAGAACAGAGTAGAATTGCCTCACAGGGTTTCCAAGGAGCGGCTGGTGGATTCAAACTGCTGAGCTTTTGGTTAGCAGCCAAGCTATTAACCACTGTGCCACCAGGGCTCATGTGTATAGTACATGATAAAAAATCCTATGTTATTCATGTTGTAATTACTTCCTCTATTTTTCCCCTTGGGGTGGGGATGGAGCAAGAAGCAGGCACAGAGTTCATGAAAATTAAATGCCTGGATGATCACTGCAGCCAGGGTACTGGGCATCTACAATGCACCAGGTTTTGTGCACAGGCATCATCTGCATCTTCACAACCAGTTCTTTAGATCAGAGGTTGGCAAACTTCTTCTGTAAAGGACCAGACAGAAAATTTTTTACTTTGCAGGCCATAAGGTTATAAGGCCATATGGTTTCTAGTGCAACTTCTCAACTCTGCCCTTGTAGCACCGAAGCAGCCGTAGACAATATGTAAACAAATGAGCATGGCTGTGTTCCAATAAAACTTTATTTACAAAAATAGGCCGTGGTCCAAACCAAGAGCTACAGTTTGCCGACTCCTGCTTTAGATGGACATTATTATTCCCTTTGGTACAAACTAATAAAGAAATGAGAAACTAAGCAAACTAAGGCCAAGTGATTGGGCTGCTTTTTCAAGGTCTCAAAAATGTCATTTCATTATCATTTTTATCACCATCATAATCACCACCATCATCATATTCATCGTTGTCATCATCATTATCACCATCATCGTCACCACCATCATTATCATCACCATGAGACCTCATCTTTGGTAGGGTTTACTCTGTGCCAGGCACTAGACTCAAGGCTAAGTGCTTTACATGCATTAACTTATTTACTCCTTACAGTTACTCTATGAAATAGGTACTGTTACTATCCCACTTGTCAGATGAGGACACTGAGACCCAAAGAAGTCAGCAAACTTGCCCAACATAACACACCTAGTGAGTAGAGAAGCTTTGATTTGAATCCAGGTAGTCCTGTCCAGAGCTTGTACTCAGAACCACTACACTGCCCCTTAGGTGGTTGAAGACCAGTGTAAGAACGCCAGAAAGTGCTGGGTAGAGAGTTCTTTTTAAAAAGCCCTTTCTGTGACCCAGTTATTTTCTTTAAATGTATTTTAAGAGCAATTAATAAGGGTATTAGAAGAAAATGATTCCCCTACGGTCAAAGAAGATGGAGCTCCCACCTACCCTGATGGCTTAAATGAGAAGATCTGGAATATGACGATGGGTGTAAAATGCCAAACGTGGAGATACAGGCTGGGCTTCAAGACACTCATTCTCATCCACACAGATAAAATGCTCAGCCTTGGCAGGAAAGGTTGGGCTTTGGAGAGTAAAGATGACTCCAAGAAA